ATATCCGTTGTAATAATACAAATTATTGAAGTCACCCATGATATTCCCAACTGTAGTGGAGTGTATTACGCACTGAACATGTGTGAGGAGAGAGAAGACAGAAATACATTGTGGAAAACACCCATATGGACATCAGAAAGAAGAGAACACGAAGTTCAGCAAAGATATCTGTCTTCTCGGCGATTTCATTCTCAAAAGCGGCTGTAAAATCGCATCTATATAGATTAGTTTACATGGATACAACTATTATTTATTCAATTCCACATAGTAACGAAGGTGATAATAATTTTCAACTTGATATGAAAGTTTGAAGGTACGAATATAGATTACATGTGGCTTAGAGACAAGACTGCATAGGATTAAAAAACAGTTACAACGTATGCAAACAATTAATATTTGATAACTGGAGAAATAATAGTTTTAAAGACGAGTAAAAGGCGATAATTATTTTCAACTTGATATGAATTACAAGAGGCTTAGAAACGCAGAGAGAGAGAACGAATTACAGGTGTGAACAAATTGAGCATGGAAACAAATTGAAATCAAAATTTTTCGACTTGAAATGTAAGTTAGGAGGTGTGTGTGTGTGAATATAGATTACAAGAGGCATCGAAACAAAAAATTACGCAGGATTATAATATAATTGTAAAATGAATATTCTGAACGGATTACAAGTGTGATCAGGAGGAGCATGGAAACAAACTTAAAATAACTGTTTTTATAACTGAAAAAAAATTAGGTGGATCTAATGAAGACTGAAGGACTAAAGATCTGACACACAGCGAACCAAAAAAATGCTCAGAAGAGAAAGCGAGAATGAAAAAAGACGAAGAAGAGAAAAAACAGAAACAAAGGGAACATACCAACCTAGGTCCATAGTAGTTGTAGAGGTTGGACTAATTTTGATTTTGAACACACAGCTCCGGCTTCTCGATGCATATTGCGAGGGCATCTGCAGTACAAAGAAGTCGGAAACATACTGATTTTGGTAGGTTTCTGTTGACTTTGTAAATCACTTTGAAGGAATCAGCTGACATGTTGTGGGAGGTGTTGATCGGATGTTCAATAATGGCACTTCTGATTGAACCAGTGCCTCCTCTTTGCAGCCACACTGGGTAATGCTCTCTAGCACGTTTTTCAAAGGACGCGCATACAACGACATACAACAAATAACGTTGGACCATCGATATAAAGACTCTAGAAGATCTGGATTTCGTGTGTGAGTGATTAATTTTTAGTTGAACACAAATTCGGAGACTTGCTGGTGAAAAAAAAGAGAAAAACTAACTGAAGATGCAGTGACGACAGGAATTCAAGCGAACACAATGAGGACAGAGGTGATGATGACAACCAATGAACAGTGACAACAACAAGCACCAATCACTATCAACAGGAGAAATTTATAAGACATTACTTCTTTTACTTATCTAGGAGGCATCCTTTCAAGCACAGACAGTCGGAATGGTTGAAGATGTCAACTTCACTCAGGATCTAAAAGGAAATCATCTGCACTCCATAGCATAAACAATCAGATTCATTCGGATTCTGTTCAACATAAATGTGAAGTCAGCCAGTCAGTCACTTCTTCCATATATCGGTGAGGTACTTGTACTATGCACACACATCAAAAAAAGCAATACCAATGCGCCGCTGAAGACTTTTGTCAACAATTGCCTTCGCCGGCTTCATACTGAAGATCTAATGGCCATCTGGCCAGAAATAATTACCAACAAGAAACTCTAGGTGGTGACAAGCCAACCAAAAATCTATTCTTCAATTAATACGCATAAAAAAATGGAGATGGATTACTTATACGCTGAAGTCATTGAATCACATCGTGCCCAAGTGGAACTCGAATAAGAAATGAAGAGTTGATCGTCTGTCTGTCTGAGAGTGACATAGAGGAGATGGTGTGGCGAGGAGGAGGAGATGAGATATTATGGGCGATTTGGGGACCAAGCTGAATAATACTGCAATGAACAGGACAGTGTGGGGATGCGTTGTTAAAGCTCTTTCTTCCATTCAGAAGCCACGGCAACAATAATATATAATACAGATAGTTTATCAGTCGTTTGGTTGTTATTAGAAGACAATGAGATTTTATTGACGGATTTCGCTATACCTACGACTCATCAACTGAACTTACCTGCGCATGCCTAAAACCTCAAACTATGGACTACATTCAAATGAACTTTCGTCAAGATTTGACAGAATAGTTTTAAAATATTTGGGCGCCGAGTGAAGAAGCTCGGTTCAGATTGCCGAACGAAACGTTGGAATTATAAAATCTCAGCTTATGTATATATTGACTTAATCATTGTTCATCAGTATGGGGGAGTCTTACGTTGTTGAGTTGGCCAATTGGTAACGATTGCTGGATTTAATAAGCCTATAAAATTATAAAAGCAGCATGTGTTTACATTAGTGAAATTGCTTACGACATTCATTTTGATTTCGTCATTTCACGGGTCAGAGGGATGGTGTTGCAACCGGATCAAATTCTGTTTTAGTCCATCATTTATATTCAGTTCAGACAATTTGGATTCCATTTGATGTGAAGTGTTTCTGATGATATTAGAGATTCTTCGGGATTTCTGAAATGCTTTTCCTGGATGATGTCATTTCATTATTGTCAAAATCAATTTTGTGGCCTGTTTCAAATAGCTTGTAGACAACCTATGGTTGATGATCTTTCAAGCCTTTCTAGTTCAACTGGATTTCTGGGTGGTTGAACAAAGGCGGCTCTACGGTGTTCATTTCTTCTGATTACCTTGACTTCTCCCTGGGTAGTTATTTTGCTTGAGAGTTTTAGTAATGTTTGATATTTCTTCTTCTTTTTCTTTCTCATGCTTTAACATTAAAGAGTGTGCTCGTCTAAGAAGACTTGAAATAACTGATAGTTTTGCGCTAATGGGGTGTGATGATCCGAAGTCTAAATATTTATTGTTGGAGCGGATTTTCTTCCTGAATATTGATATACTAAAATGTCAGTTTTCCCTCCACTTAAGTAGGTGGCCAGTCTAGAAATGGTAGTTCACTGATGTGTGATTCTGCTTCTGAAGTAAACTGGATTTTCGGAGGAAGGGGGGAGATAGATTGTTTATTTTCTCCAAGGATGAACTGTGTAGATCTCGCTCGTTTTAGCACTGCAAAAGTACCATCTACATGTCTATATACGTCAGTAAAAACAACAATATCGTTTTGTTGTCTTTCATTCATTTATTTTTATTTTTTGTTTTATTTTTGATTACAGCTTGATTCCGCACCGTATTTTTGGTAAAAGTATGGAATTCTCAGCATGGATATCGATAGCCCGAATTTCGCACGCCGACCATAGATATCAGGTGTTCGTCGGCAGGGTTCGAACCTCGGACCATGTGCATAGTGGTCGGCGAGAGTCCTAACCACTGTTCCACCGACGTACAAAACAGGCCTTTATTATAATTTATATCATATACCCAATGCCCAAATTTTTTCAAACTATTAAAACTGAATTTGGTTTTGAAATATATAATGTAATAGTAATGTGGTGAGAGCTGTCTGCTAGTCAAAATTGATAGACAACAATTTACGTCAGTGTTTACGTCGCAAATCTTGGTTATGAGAAAAGAGCAAGAACGAAGACTAACTCAACAATCAGTCACAGAAGACTTTGCGTGGGCGGATACGATTCGCAGATAGATGATCTGACCTTTAAAGAAACAGCCACAAAGAGATGACAGATTAACTTCCAGTGAGAAAACAACCAATCAGGAGACACTGTTTCTCTGCTAACAATAACGAATAATAATGTTCTATAGTTTAGTTTGTAAGGGTTATTTATTTTTTTACGAGTTGATCACGGATCAGTTAGAGAACTATTGAAAACCAGGGAGTACTGGACCAGGGAGCTCCAATTAGATGTCACGTTTGTGGATGGATGTCCCACCAAGGACAATGGTTGGGTTCGTGCTAATTCCCGAATTGGTAGAAGTTAGAATTCATGGGCTGGTCATTGAATCGGGTCTCAGTGGCTGAATGGTATACGAGCCAGCTTGCCTTGTACCCGGAACATCCTGGGTTCGGACTCCCTGTGGAGTGGGTGCGTACTTCCGATGATTCTTAAACTAGCATGGATGAAACAGCAGCTGTCCAGTACTCCCTGTTTTTCAATGGTTCTCTAACTGATATCAATCCATGATTAACTCGTAAAAAGAATAATAGTGTACATAAAAATCTATAAATATCTATTGATTATCTCAATAAACGATCTGTTGCCTGGTCCTTGTCTTCCGTCGTTACAGTACTGTGAAAGATTATGCACTACGGAAATTTTACTATTATTGTTATTATCATTAGCACCAAAGAGTGTGCTCGTCTAAGAAGACTTGAAACAACTAATAGCTTTGCGCTGATGGGGTGTGGTGATCCGAAGTCTAAATATTTATTGTAGGAGCGGATTTTCTTCCTGAATATAGATATACTAAGATGGAATCTTCAGAACCTATTAACGGTGAGAACAGTAGACCTAGCTATTCTATCGTGAAACATATTATAGAGACAGGAAATAAAATTGACGTTAACAGATCTTTTAAACCAATCTATAAAACGTGTTTGGGGCGTATCCTAAAGTTTGTAGAAGCCCTAGCAATTAGAAAGTTCAAACCACCTTTATGCGTTCAGAGCAACAATGCGTTATCACATTAAACCTTCCTTCGTAAACTTTGTTTTGATACCCTAGCAGATGTACTAATACCTCTGCTGTTTGGTTTAGTGGTCTTCATTGTTATTTTGACCTTGAATATGTCCTTTTAACTTGACATAAGTCTATTTTCTCACCTCTTAACTCTTTATTAATTTCATATGAGTATTCCTATGACAAGTCCGTGTGTGATGGATCAGATTGTTTGTAATGTATTGCGCAAATGCACATTACACGATTCAGAAAAATTATGTCTTCTTATTGGTTTATCTAAATTCATAGAGGGAACTAATTGTTATTATTATTATTGTTAATTTAGATGCAATCTGTTGATCAAGAGGATGACTTAGAAGCCGATGATGACTTCGATGAATTGCATAGTGATAATGATGGATCAAAAATGCATGTACCATTGACAGTTAGCGTTATTGTCCTGTCAGTGTACACCCTGATTGGTGCAGCAATATTTCCAAGATGGGAAGATTGGTCAATGGCAAATGCTGCCTATTTTTCATTTATAACAATATCAACAATTGGATTTGGTGATTTAGTTCCAGGGAATGGAAGATTCAATGAGGTAATCCTGAGAACATTTCATCTTTTTTTTGGCTTTCTTCTCTGTAGTTTTTACTATTCTGTGAGATTCCAGTTGGAACATAGACATTCAACAGAACATTACCACTGCATTCTGTTTGACAATGTTTGTCTGACTTATCCTAACACACATTCTCCTCCATGCCAGCCTCTTAAGACACAAGCCTAACTCATCTTATCCTATTTGTTTTTCACTCAAGCTATTGCCTGGGGCAGTATGACACCTGATGATCTCATTGTATGTCCAATGCATCTCCATTTATACTGAACAGCATTTATACATTTATTATTATTTCCTTTGAATTCCTAGAGGGACATAGAGCTTTTTAGGGTTGACGTGATATCTCGTTCAACAACTTCTAATTAATTTATTCTCGCGTACCAAAGACAAAGCAAAAGCCAATAATTGATCGTCCAAACCAAGAGATATATTTAGGAACCAAAACCAGCCGTTAGACGAACGCTTAGCTAGCTAGTGATCGTGCACGTGACACGACGGGTTACCAAATGGCGGGGATGCTTGACCGGAAGCCTTCAGCTAAACAAGTCGACTTAAACAGTGGTGGTCAGCATCCAATGAGTGATTGCTGTGGTCAATAATTTTGGGGAATTATTTACCGCTACAGCTCACTCCCCCCTAGTGGGGTCGTGAGGACCCTAAGACAGAACCAGCCGGAAGTAAAAAAACTCGATGGTTCCCTTTCGGGTGAAAAAAATCTTCCGAGCGGCTTGGTCGTATGCCTACTGGTTTGTCTGCCTATGCTAATAGGGTGTTTGTACATAGCTTCCTTGTTGTTGTTCGTTGGATTCCGTGCTTCGTTTGTTTCCTGTCCAGTGCCCGTCGCACCTGGAAAAGAAAACAAGAACGCTAAGAACCATGTCGAGGAAAATGTACGAAATGAGCTTTTTGGTTAAAAAAAATTGTGTGCATTTACTATACAGTAAAATAATGCTAAGTTCAGAACATCGAAAAAAAATACATCTAATTAATTTTTTTGTGTATGTTACATGAACTGTTGAAAAAAAATTTTTGTGTTCGGTGGTACTGTATATAAAAAAAATTTATACGTCAAAAAAAATAGTTAGTACCACAAACGAGTGAGTTGCGTGAATCACACGACTTCGTTAAGTCAAATAAGTGTGCAGATATTCTGGGAACCTTACGGTGCGTCCAGAACGGTTTTTCTTAGGAGGCTCAACCTTAGTAGCCAGTGGGCGAATGCCCTTGCAGTCAATAGTGTGACCCAGGAAGTCGAGTGAGTCAACACCGATTTGACACTTTTGAATATTGATGGTAACACCATGTTGGCGTAACCTGTCAAATGCCAAGTCCAAGTGCCTAAGGTGAGTTTCCTTGTCTGGACTGGCAATGAGGCAGTCGTCTAAGTATGCGTATACAAAGTCGAGACCGCGAAATACTTCGTCAATGAAGCGTTGGAATGTTTGGGCTGCATTCCGGAGACCGAATGGCATACGTAGAAATTCAAAAAGTCCGAAAGGCGTAATGATAGCCGTTTTCGGGATATCTTCTGTTGCCATCGGGATTTGGTTATACGCTTTAACCAAGTCGATTTTGGAGAATATAGTCGCGCCGGATAAGGTTGCCGTCAAGTCGTGTATATGAGGCAACGGGTAGCAATCAGGGGTTGTTTTGGCATTCACTCGCCGGTAATCACCGGTGGGTCGCCAATCGTTGCTATCCTTTTTCGGAACCATATGAAGTGGGGATGCCCATGGGCTATTCGAAGGTCGAATGATGCCAAGGCTAAGCATATGGTCAAATTCATTCCTGGCGATTCTCAGTTTGTCAGGAGCTAATCGTCGTGCTTTAGATGTCACAGGTTGTCCTGTGGTAATGATGTGGTGCATAACATTGCTGGTTATGCACGGTAGGTCGTTCGACGGGCAATTAAGTTCCGGATACTTGTCAACAATAGGTTGAAAAGTTGGATCAAGGATTGCCTTTATCTTAACGGGTGACAAACTAGGGCCTATGTAGCTGATGCCTTTGATAGACAGACTAGTAGTATTGTCAATCAGTCGTTTTCGGCGGACGTCTACGAGTAAATCATGATGATTAAGTAGGTCCGTGCCAATGATGGGCATTGTAACGTCAGCGAGAAGGAAAATCCACCGAATAGGTTTGCGTAAACCTACGTTCAGATAGACGTATTTCCTACCAAAGGTTGCGATTGGTTTTCCATTTGCAGCCTGTAAGTTGAAGGTAGGTTCCTTCTGTCGATCTGCTGCTGTAGCAGGAAGGACGCTGACTTCGGCGCCTGTGTCGACTAAGTATCGAGTCTGGCTTATCACATCATGGATGTAAAGTAGGCGGCTAGTGCCACCGGCGACGGTTGCCGCTAACGCGTGCCGGCGGGATAGTTTCCCGCAGACTTTGAGACATTTCCGAAGTTACAAGGCTTACGGCAACACTTCGCTTCTTGGCCATAGGTGTTGTGGTACCAGCACCAGTCAGGGTTTTTCAGTGAACGTGGTTTGGACTTAGATCGACCACGTGAGTTCCTGCGTTGAGGAGATTTAGGACGACGGTCGGAGGATTTAGAATGCATGTTTGACCTAAACATCTGCTGGATGGAGTTGCATAACTCTATCATTGCAGGATCCTTACTCGAAGTCTGCTTAGTCATCGAGCATATTTCGGGAACAGACCGTTTAGTTATTTCTAGAATCCTATCTGCAGTAATAGCTAAGTCCTCTATTACAGTACCCTGAAGTGTCACAAGTACGGTCTGTACAGACTGTGGCAACTTGGTTAAGAAGAGTTCTCTAAACAGTCCTTCGTCGAACTGACTTTGGCCGACGACTTCTTTCATTCTTGTCAGCATGCTCACGGCTGACTGATCTCCTAACTCGATGTTACGAAATAATTCATCTAGACGTTGTCGGTCCGTGAGAACGTTTCTCCTGAGGAGGGATGCTTTCAGCAACTCGTACGAGTTACTTACCTCGGGACTCAACATCTGTGATGTTACGTACTTGCTGAATTCCCGCGGTAGGGCGTGAATAACTGCAAGTAACTGTGAACGTTGATCGGTTATCCCATGCTCACAAAAATCTGCTTCAGCTAGCAGAAACCACGTTTCAGCATTATCTGGCCAGTATGGTACGAGCTGAATGGTTTTAGGAGTTGAGCGGATACGGATGACCTTGGGACTAAGATCACTCATGACGAAAATTATGTCGAATAATATATGGTACAAGAACAAATACAAAATGGAACGAACTCACCGGGGTTATCTGCGGATTTATCGTAGATGAAGTTCGCGGTTGGGCTCACCAGTTTAGGGTTGACGGATATCTCGTTCAACAACTTCTAATTAATTTATTCTCGCGTACCAAAGACAAAGCAAAAGCCAATAATTGATCGTCCAAACCAAGAGATATATTTAGGAACCAAAACCAGCCGTTAGACGAACGCTTAGCTAGCTAGTGATCGTGCACGTGACACGACGGGTACCAAATGGCGGGGATGCTTGACCGGAAGCCTTCAGCTAAACAAGTCGACTTAAACAGTGGTGGTCAGCATCCAATGAGTGATTGCTGTGGTCAATAATTTTGGGGAATTATTTACCGCTACAGCTTCATCTGCGCATCTCCATCGCCTTCGGTTCTCAGACAACGTTTTCACCTGGCTCCAAGTCTCCCCACATGCTTTCATCTCCTCTTCACATCACCTCCCCCTCCTCCTCCGTGTCACCCTCACACTGACGACCAACTCTTCACTTACCTATCGGGTTCCACTCGAGTAATGGCTTGTCTAGTGATGTCACTCACTTGATGGTTTCCTCAGAGTATGGCCAGCCAATCCATCTAACTCTATTTCTTCGTGCCTATTTGTTGCACAATCGGTTCCTGCTGGGTTGGTTCGCTCCCAGAGATCCCTCTCCGTTGCTGATCTTTTCTGATCATCTAATCTTGAGTGGTATTGAGCGAAGACAGCTGTTAATGAAGGTCTGAAGTTTGTTTGAGATGCTCTTCATGAGGCCGCGCCAAGTCTCTGATCCGTGTAGTGAGTAGCACTGACTGACTTCATATTGGAGTTGAAAATCCGGATCTTATTTTCATAATCATGCTGAGTGCTGTTGATCTCCTCCACACAGAATTGAGAGTAATGAAAGCTTGTCTTGCTTTTCCGATTCTGGCTTTAATATCCTCTTCGGTTCTGTTCGCCTGTAGTTGAAACGATGCTTCCTAGGTGGGTAGGTAGGTAAAGGAGGTTACTTGTTTCAGATTTCTCCCATTTATGCTGACTCTCGTCTGTTATTGTTGTTGTGGCTGTAGCTGTTGCTGTTGGCCAGGAATCTTCATCACCATCTGTCTTCTATATGTTCATCTGAAGGAAGTCCTATCTTCTCTGGATGCTTCTTCTATTGCCAACTTGCTGCTTTTCACTTGCATATCTTCCAGTTTGGTAGGAAATCAGACATATATATCATCGGCGAAGTCCAGATCCTCCAAGTTTGTCTTTGTGTGAGTCCATTTTATGCCTGTTTCCTCATTGCCCGGCCCGTTGTCTGTCGCATTATCCAATCTACTGCAATCAGGAAGATCATTGGCGATAGTAGACAGCCTTGCCTCACTCCCACCCTCTCTTCGAAGGCTTCCGTAAGTTTCCCGTTGTGGATTACTTGGCTGGTATGCAGCATTGTTGTATAACTGTTGGATGAGATGTATAATTGTAGGTGGCACCCCGTAGTGGCGAATTAGTTGCCAAATCACCTCTCAATAGACGCTGTCTGCTGAAGGCCTTTTTAAAGGCGATGAAGTTGAGTGAGGTAGAGAGGCGACTGCCATTCCAAGCTTTGTTCAATCATGTGATCCGTAGTGTGGTGATTTGATCAATACATGACTTATTTCTCCTGAATCCAGCCTGTTCCGGTCGAAATTTTTCATCCAGGTTGGCGTGTTTGATTCTCTCCAGGATGATTCGGCTTAGTATTTTGCTCTGGATGGACAGGACCATAATTCCACGCCACTTCTTGCATTGACCTAAGTCTCCTTTCTTTGGTAGTTTGAATAAGTATCCTTTCTTCCAATCCTCAGGTACTTTGCCCTCTTTCCACACCTTCTCCAGCAGTGGTGTCATCAAGTCCGCTGTTGTCTCTGGGTCCATTTTCAATGCTTCTGCTGGGATTCCATCTGGTACTGCTACTTTCCCAGCTTTTAGCATTTTGATTGCATTCAGGACTTCTGATTTCGTCGGGGTGTGTTGATGTTCACTGGTAGTTCTGCTTCCGTTGTTGGTATTTTTGGTTGCATTGTAGGTGGCGGTCGATTTAGAAGTCTTTTGAAGTGTTCAGCCCAGTGTTTTCTTTGCTCCACCTCTTTGGTGACTGAATTTCCATTGTCATCCTTTACTGGCTTAAGCTGTGTCGAACGTTTGCCCGATAGGTGACTAGTTGTTTGGTAGAGTGTGGCGAGGTCTCCTTTGCCTGCACTGCAGCTTGGTCTGCTTCACTTGACATGGGTACATAATATTTTCTTTTGTCTTCCCTGGCACTCTTCTTTACTCTTTTGTTCAGCGTATTGTAGCTTGCATTCAACTCCTGTTTTTGTTGCTCGTCAGTGCACTGGATAATCTTTTGTTTCACTATCTTTCTCTCTTCTATTAGTTTTCAAGTGTCCGCAGTGAGCCACTGTTTATCCTGTCTCTTCTTTCTGCCTAGAAATTCCATGTAGGTTGTTTGTTTGTATATTTTCCCCTGGAATTTAAATTCTGTGGAAGTCAGGCATAGCTGCACCCCCAGCATTATGTCCTTAAGTGGCACTTTCGCGCTAAGTTCAAGTTGTTGGCCAGAAATGAATTCGTTTCTTACTGCCTCTATAGCCATATTTATTGGTATATGTGTTTATAAACTGACAATGTCAAAACCATTGGATTGGACCATTGGATCAGGTCCCAGTGGCTCAATGGTCTACGAGCCCGCCTTGTAACCAGAAGGTTCTGGGTGCGAATCCCAGTGGGTGCTTGCTGTTGAAGAGTCCCAAACTAGGGAATTGAAACAGCTGTCCAGTACTCCCAGGTTTTCCAGTGGTTCTCTAACTGATGTCAGCTCATGGTGAAATCCTTCATACAATCAATGTCAAAACTAACCATTTTTTCTCTATTATGTAATTTTAAATTCTTTCATTAATTATATTTTAATTTTCAATTATTATTATTATATTTATTAGCCTAAAACAGCAGTTGAACTGCTTGTCGGTGGCTTGTACCTTCTATTCGGTTTAGCCTTACTATCAATGTGTTTAAATCTAATGAAAGATGAAATAATCGCAAAAGTTCACTACATCTGTACATGTATCGGTATAAGACGAAATAAATCGGAAACTGATGAAGATCAACGCGGAGATGATGATGATGATAGAAGGGAAGAACCACAACAACAACTCGAAGAAGAAGAACAAGAACAGCAACAAGAACAGGAATACAAAGCAAGAAATCCTCCACCTAAAGAGGATAATGAAAGTTATTCAAATAAAGAAACGACAAAATTAATGAAAAAACAAAAGAAAACTAAGAAATCTAAAGATCTTCCCAAGGAATATGATAATCAATCCTTTGAAAAAGATACTTAATAATTAATCAATAAGCGAAAACAAAACAAAAAAGAAATGTAAAATCTTATTCCCACAATGGGATGTGATAAATCCTGTTACCATGACATATCACTGAAAGCTATTCACCTACTTATAATCATTATCATTATTATCAGCATAAATGACGTCATCATTGTTATCACACACATACAAACACACACACACACACTGTCGCAGTATCATCATAGATGACAAAAAGATACTCATAATCAATAAAAAGCACTCCGAATAATATGTGACTTCACTCTATTTTCCACTTCCTCTTATTCTTTCGCCTCACTGATGTTCAATATGCGCACACAAAGGGAAAGTTGATAAAATATTATTATTAGTGTTTAGCTTATAATTGATCGTTTCTTTGTTCTTTTCTTCAAATATATTAATTAGATCGATTGTTATTCATGCTATTGATTTTTTTCAATATTATACTACTGAAAAGGGTATTAAGTAATATGCTCACTCACTACCGATAGGATAATCTTATCTGATGAAGAAACAGTGAATGTGATACAGTATTGATATAAGAATAAAACTTGTTCACTGTGGTAGAGTGTAATTCTATATTATGGGTAAATTTTGTTTTGATAAAGTCTACCGATTGAAGAAATTATTTTAGGAATTCAATTATCCCGTCTCACATCTACTATCTTTAAATTCGAGAGGAAAATATGCAGACAAACAGAAGGTGTAGCAATGGGATGGATCACCAATATCCCCTATCGTAGCAGATATATTTATGGATAGCTAGGAAAGTAGTGCTGTTAATACATTTAATCCTATTCCAAAAATATGGTGGAGATATGTGGATGACACTTCCCCTCACAGTGTTGAAAACAGAACATATCTCTCTCTAGCTTCTTGACACATATAAACTCCGCTTCACATTTGAAGCGGAAAATAAACAAGGAGAATTAGCTGTGATGTTAGATTGTAAAATAAAACGAATAGAAGAAGTCAAACTACACACTAGTGTTTACAAAAAATCAACGCATTCTGCTAATAGATATTTAGACTTTAATTCGTCTCATCCGTTATTTGTCTGTGAAGGCAGGCTTAGTTAAGTGTCTAACAAACCGACCAGTAGCACTAAGTTGAACAACAAAAGATCTAAATGACGAAATGAAACAGAAGAAGCGTTGGTGTTGAATAACTATCCTTTAAAATTCATTAGGAAGATCGAAAAAGGCCAAAAGAAAGACAAAAATAATAGTGAAATTAGTAATAATAACATAAATAAGAGAGAATATAAGTAATGTACAGTTATGCCACATAAAGAGGGGACATCTGAAACCCTACGTAGGATTCTAAATAAGGCAGGAATTAGGGTGGTGGCACTCAAACCTACAAACTCACTCAGGGACAAGCTCTGTAGGTTAAAGGACCCAGTTGACCCAATTAAACAAAATAATATTATTTACAAAATACCATGCAATGACCGTCAGGTCAACTACATAGGTCAAACTAGTAGGTCAGGGGTAATCAGATTGTCAGAACATAAGAATGTAGCTAAGCGAAGAATGTTTGACCCCACCTGAGAAGATAAGTAATTTAGAAAAAGGCTCAGTGATTGCACCGCATGCATGCATTAACACACAACCACACAATAGCATGGTGGGAGAGGCTTAAAGTTCTAAAAAGTAATCTAGGTAGGTAGGTGGAGAGCGAGACAGGTTGATTAGTGGATCCGCCTTGTTCATCGAGTCGACACCAACAACACATGCAATAAGAATGACTCATCATTCATAGCCGAAATATGGAAAATACTAGTACCAATCAAATCAAGTGAAAAATAATGAAATTATATAAACGAAGTTAGAAAGTTGTGTGAGTACCTTGATATGATTATGAGCAATAAATTGTGCTCGAAGCGTCATCAGTGAGACAGTATTCTTTCAAGTTTCATCACAGATTGATATCAATTAGGGAACCATTCAAAACCTAGAAGGGATTATTGAATAGTCATTTCGTCTTAGTTCAGGACACTTCAGAATTGTGCACATATATGTATGACCTTACTTTCTCTGACTGATTTCATCAATTTCTAGATCAAACATAGCTGACTGGTTCCAACGTAGAACTTCGCAAAGATATGCAGCAGTTCGCTCACTACACTTCACTTAGCACACAAAGCAAGAGAAGAAAGTAGAAGAAATGCATAATAGAGACAGTGAACAAGGATACGGGACAAAACGAATAGTAATGATGAAGAACAATATAGTTTCATTGGAAATCATAAGTCACAAGGAGTGGATGCATCTGCTCCAGCCAGCCATTGAGAACGATTCTGAGCCATGTCATCACCAAATGTCTACAGCCATTAGTTTTTACCATCTCGAGGACCCCAACCAGCCAGTCAGGAAGTCTACACCTTCCTACGTAGCTGGCTTAAACTAACTGTTGTGGATTTCAGTGACAGGTGCCATGTTTTGGTCTGACCGTCCCTACCTCTTTTCCAGCTTGACCCTATGTCAGCTAACATTGTTCGTCGAGGAAGGCGATGACTAGGGATGCATGCGTAACACAGGTCCCAACCATGTCATTCGATGTAATTTCACAGCCTCGTCGATTGATTTCCCCTCACCCCCCTTACTTAGCACTCGACCAATGCCTCACCTCAATATTGCTCACCCTATTATACCGCTTCACATGGTAGATAAAACGCAGGCATCTATGATCGAAGACAACAAGCCAGGCTTCTCATATCTTCCACTTTCAATCGCCAGGTCTCACGAACATACAGGAGGATACAGCGAACTGCTGAGCAGTGCATCCGCCCTTTGGTCGATAGCCAGCCGGATATCACGTCTACGCCAGAGGTGGCGTGAACTGGCATATCCGAAACGAGCCTTCTGTATTCGTGCTGAGATTTCATCAGCAATCAATCCACTGCGCTGGGTGATGCAACTTCCCACATGAGTTGAGTGGTCAACACGTTCCACCAACCACTTCATCCCTGCCTATCTTTAAGCTAGGAGTGAGTGGATGTAGTACAATCGTGTAGCATCATTTTACATATGATAGGAGCACACGAATAGCATGCCAAACATTCGAAGATTGCAGCTCAAGGTGTTCAGAAGATTCTGCATTATGTCAGCGTCTTCACCTAGAAGGAATATACCATCTGTATATTCTAAGTCAACGAGACTAGTATTCCCGCCGTGACAACTCACCGTAAGCCCTCACTTGGCTTGATGAGTTCGAGCAGAGTGCCTTGATCAGTACAATGTATTTTCTCGTCATTCCTCTCACAGCCAAACATCGCCGTAATACCTCTCAGTCGATGGAATCAAATGCCGCCTTTAGGTCAAGAAATATAACGATTGTTGGATGCCAGTAAGCGTGTCTGTATTCCAGAATCTGTTGAAGGGTGAAGATATAATCAATACACCCTCTTACTGGTTTAAAGCCTGCCCGGTTCTCCATGCGGTGACCACTGGATTGATTCCCAGCTGCTGAATGGTTTACGATCTTGCCTTGTAACCAACCAGAAGGTCATGGGCTAGAACTCCCTGTGGTGGGTGCATACTGATTAAGAGTGCCGAACTAGGACTAGAGAAGTAGGTGCCCAGTAAGTAGTGCAAGGTTCCCCAATAGTTATCTAATCTATGTCATGTCATGACGAAACTCCATAACTAGTCAAATCAAATCCGTGCAAACCAGTACTTGAATATTCTTCTGATGTTCACAATATAATACATTTTGGGCGCCTTCAGTTCTGGTTGTACGCTTTCTGGTAACTGTTTAGATCTCTGAGCCCTAATTTGTTGTGGTATGCATATGTTCCAGGATGTGTCGAAGCGTGATAAGATGATCAATAAATCTCAGTCCAGAGGGCAAAAATATACTCTATCCCCCTTAAGTTTGTTTCTCTCAAACACTATTCAGCCATGTGTATATATGTAATGTGATTTTTCCCCCAATGCACTCGTCCGTAGATTCATAAGTGAGTGTTTATCATTTGGCACCACTTCTCGTGATTTCGAAATCCCCATTTACGCATTTAGAAAAAACAACAACAGATTAAGTGTAAAAATATGCGCACTCCTTCACTTCAATTAGTTCCTCATCATCGGCTGGCTCTACACGAATATTGTAATTTTCTTTTTACATCAAAATGTTTTACCAGTCAAGTGGTGGTATAGGAGGTGAGGAGGGGTTGAAATTAAGAGGTTAAAAGTCATCAACACATCAGTTAACTAATAGATGTTAGTAACAAGATATCTAAGTTTTATAAAAGAGGGTTGAAAATTAAATAATTAATTACGGAATTCAAGGTCGGTTGATTATTAGGCGATGACAACAAGTGATCACATAATCAAGAAATGTATGAAATAATAGTGACTAAGGAGAACTGCTGGAAAACCTGGGAGTACTGGACAGCCATTTCGCTAGGCTAGTTTGGAAGTCTTCAGCAGTAAGCACTCACCGGGGTTCTTTCATATCAACAAGTAATTTCATAGATATTAACACGACCAAAAGGTCACTTGTCAAGTCTTCAAGACGACTGATAGCAATACAGGTGATTACAATGTCTACAAACCAGAAGGTCTTAGGTTCTAACCCCTGTGGATGCGCACTACTGAAGAGCCAAAAAACTAGGACTACAGAAACAGCTGTCCAGTACTCCCTGGCTGGTTTTCTTATGGTTCTCTAACTGATGTCATCTCATGATCAAATCCTGTAACCAAAATTTTTATCAGTCAAGTGGCTATTTTAGCTATTCAGTTTTAGATATACAGGGGAGGGATGAAACCAAGAGGTTAAAGGTCATCGAAACAAATAACTAATAGATGTTAGTAAAAAGATGTCTAAGTTTTTAAGGGGGAGGGGGTGAAAATTAATCAATTACGGAATCTGAGATCACTTACTTCTTAAGGGGTTAGCAACACATTATTACGTAATCAAGAAATCTGTAGAATAATGATGACTCAGAAGAGTTACGTAGAATACAAACAAGCTAATAGAATTAGCTAGAATTG